AAGCCTTTTTACATGGCATCGTAAGATTTCCTAACTGCCTAATGGCACTCATTAAATAAACCCACCATCGAATCAGATATGAAATGGCTATAAAAATGGTACTGTTGGAAAGCTAACAATCATTACGCCAATCGTTCAGAAGTTTAGTCCTGAATTCTTTCTTATCCCGACGAAATAACTAAATACTAAATGTTTTTCTTGTTAGGTACTAATTGCATCCATACCTTGGAAATACAAACCTAGTAATCTGTAAAAGTTTTTGATAATTCTCTGTTTTCTCGGGGCAGATCATTGGAAAAATACTTCCAGTGGTTTCGATTTTTTTTTTTAACCTCTGTTTCTCTAAAGAAAAAAACCCTCTTGCTCATATGAAAACTACAATGTGTTTACTCACAGGCTGAAATCGAAAAATGTGATTCACCACAGCCGTGCTGCTTTACTCGAACTGGGGGGAATTTACGAAAAAGGTAACTAAAAACGGGTTTTCACCCTAAAGTATCCGGTACGGGCTTAAGACTTGAAAGATAATTAACCGAAGAGACCACACAACATTCTGTAAAGGAGTACTATTATAGATGTATTATTTTCGAAAGAAAGTTAACCTGAACTGGACACCTTTACAGTAAGTCACTTTTAGAAGGGAGATTTAATCAAGCTAACTAGGAAGAATAAAGAAGCAGCCTGAAAGAAAAGAGAATGGATTAGTGAATTCTACCCTCAGAAATCTGCCACCCTGCAACAAATGTGGAATTCAAAAAGACAAGTAACTAAGAAAAACTACACTGGAGGAAAATAGAGAAAACCACTGAGATCATCTTTGAGAAACTGCCCAATCAATGAAACCAGATCTCTGCTTTCCTACAGAGATCTCATTTGAAAAATTAGTTTTTATAATTTTTTTCTTAGTTTTCTGAAATGATACACACTTCTTGTTAGCAGGACAAGTGCCTTTTCAAGAAATCTTTTGTTTTCTGGGCTATTGGAAATTAATCCCTGGCAGTAAATTCAGGAGGAAACACAGATGAAGAAAAAAGCATGAGTTTTATACTCATGGACTTGCTAATGCTTTGAAACACGCACGCTCTTTGTCACCCTCATTGTGCAAGTAAAACTTGTTAACAAGGGTTAATCTTTACCACTCTGAGGCTTGCAACACGCTATAATCTCTGCTGTTAACAGCTGGGCTCCCTTACCCTGGTGTCCCTCCTTTTTTGTGATTAGTGCTTTCTCGTGTGACGTAGCATTGTTACCCCTTAGAGATGACTTTTGTTAAAAAAGGGACGTGACAGTGACCCAAGCAGAAGAGATTCAGCCGGGTGCAGGCTGCACGCTCCCGGGACGACTTTTGGGTTAACATTCAGCTGGCTGCGGGCATGACTGCAGGAGACGGGGGGAGAGCAAACCACTGCCAGGCTGGGCGGCAGCCCAGCAGCCTCCGGTCCAGCCCAGCATCCAAACATCCACCTCTTCAGCCCAGTAGCTGACGCGGTGGGACTTCAGAGGCCTGAAATGATTACTTTTGAAAAGAGTTACCTTTCTAAGTTTGCAAAAACGGCTTCTCGTTTTCAGGCCGCATTTGTGATCTGCCTTCCAAGAGAGAAACCAGATACAAAGTGGCCTTCACTCGAGCAATTATGCAAACAAGGAACTATTGTAACCACGCTAATTGGAACAGTTTTTTTCCGGCCGATACGCAGGCAGGGCTGGCAGAACAGCTGACAGTAGAAACCGAAGGACGACAAAATATAACGGCGGCTGCCAAACCCTGGAACGTTAATTCCGAGTCATGAATGGAACGTTGATTCCGAGTCATGAAAATCTCCTCTCAGGCAGATCTAGAAACGTGGCATCTTTTCTGAACCGGGAGCAGAAGAATTTGGCTATAATCCTTTGACTGAACCACGCGCCTCGGTGCAGGTAGCGATGCGTGGAATTTGTGCTGACTTACAGAACCCGACCTGCCTGTCACCAAAGCTGTCATCGCCTGTTTGCATTTCACGCCATACGCTCACAAATATAAACGCTGGATTGGAATAGCTGGCCCGCCACAGAGGATCTGGACTACATCCTAACACGGGTCCAAGCCAATCCACAACCTGAAGACACGTGGTCGCATGAAATCAACTTAGACAGTTGTTTCAACCGCGTTCTTCTGTGCACTTCAGCTCTTCCATTTCATCCGGGTATCACTGGGTTTTATTCTTCTTCCTTGGCTTCTTCAGACTCACAAATACACTGTAGTGACAGCAAGGAATGGGCGAAATGACTCTAGCGCCGGGCTAGCAGCACACGCGTAACCACCGCTTTCCATAACTGCGGAAGAGCTGCACCCCCTCCCCACACCGAGGTGTATGTTCCTTTCTCTTGCATCGCTTTACAATGCAAAAATTTTGGCTGGGATAAAGTAACGCAGATAACATCGCTCTTCCTCTTTAACCAAATTTGCATGTGAAACCTCCCAAGCCTCTGAGCCTGCAGAAGAGAGCGTTTTCAGAGATTCGACGTTTCATTTTGAACTGGGGTACGTTTGGTTTCAATTTATGATTATTATTAAAAGGAAGGAGCTGATTCTTTCCCAGGCACGACACAATTATATTAGTCTAAAAATGTCACGAAGACCAACGTTTGCTATTTAAAAATGAAAAGGAGAAAAAACCAACCAGCAGGAAGAGCAAGCAGGCTGCCAAGTGCTTTTGGAGTACCGAGCATATGTGTTTGTTTAAAACATTTGGTGAGATGATTAGGTTTTCTAATGACAATTTTTAAGAACGTACGTGGGAATAGAGGAACTGGACAGACAGGAAAGTCCCACCCTTCCACAGAAGACTCAGGTACAGCAAATATTCTTGTGAGATACACCCTGGGCATATAATTCAGTGTCTGAAAAACCCAGGCCCAACTCCTTAAAGATCAAGGCACTTTGCTGTTTCTACAGTTTCTAAAGCAAGGGAACAGACCCCCCCTGCCCCCAATATCTTTTTTGGCTTTCCACAAATGCTTGAGTAGAAAGCCTACAGTTCTGGAAATAAAAGGAGCAGAGCTTTCGGCGTCTACCTATCTTTTCTACAGAAGAACAGATCTCAAACACAAAAGAAGGGAGGATTAAATAAGCATCTCGGTAAAACCAAACGCTAACTCTATCGACATTGGTCTGTCTCATTTTGCAACATACGCTGTCAGATGAAATTCTTCTGCAGGTCTCAAAGTCATGAGCAGTACTGGAAATAACTCCTCCTACACGCTGCTCAAAAAAAACCCCAACACCTAAACCCTGGAACGTTAATTCCGAGTCATGAAAATCTCCTCTCAGGCAGATCTAGAAACGTGGCATCTTTTCTGAACCGGGAGCAGAAGAATTTGGCTATAATCCTTTGACTGAACTGCACGCCTCGGTGCAGGTAGCGATGCATGGAATTTGTGCTGACTTACAGAACCCGACCTGCCTGTCACCAAAGCTGTCATCGCCTGTTTGCATTTCACGCCATACGCTCACAAATATAAACGCTGGATTGGAATAGCTGGCCCGCCACAGAGGATCTGGACTACATCCTAACACGGGTCCAAGCCAATCCACAACCTGAAGACACGTGGTCGCATGAAATCAACTTAGACAGTTGTTTCAACCGCGTTCTTCTGTGCACTTCAGCTCTTCCATTTCATCCGGGTATCACTGGGTTTTATTCTTCTTCCTTGGCTTCTTCAGACTCACAAATACACTGTAGTGACAGCAAGGAATGGGCGAAATGACTCTAGCGCCGGGCTAGCAGCACACGCGTAACCACCGCTTTCCATAACTGCGGAAGAGCTGCACCCCCTCCCCACACCGAGGTGTACGTTCCCTTCTCTTGCATCGCTTTACAATGCAAAAATTTTGGCTGGGATAAAGTAACGCAGATAACATCGCTCTTCCTCTTTAACCAAATTTGCATGTGAAACCTCCCAAGCCTCTGAGCCTGCAGAAGAGAGCGTTTTCAGAGATTCGGCGTTTCATTTTGAACTGGGGTACGTTTGGTTTCAATTTATGATTATTATTAAAAGGAAGGAGCTGATTCTTTCCCAGGCACGACACAATTATATTAGTCTAAAAATGTCACGAAGACCAACGTTTGCTATTTAAAAATGAAAAGGAGAAAAAACCAACCAGCAGGAAGAGCAAGCAGGCTGCCAAGTGCTTTTGGAGTACCGAGCATATGTGTTTGTTTAAAACATTTGGTGAGATGATTAGGTTTTCTAATGACAATTTTTAAGAACGTACGTGGGAATAGAGGAACTGGACAGACAGGAAAGTCCCACCCTTCCACAGAAGACTCAGGTACAGCAAATATTCTTGTGAGATACACCCTGGGCATATAATTCAGTGTCTGAAAAACCCAGGCCCAACTCCTTAAAGATCAAGGCACTTTGCTGTTTCTACAGTTTCTAAAGCAAGGGAACAGACCCCCCCTGCCCCCAATATCTTTTTTGGCTTTCCACAAATGCTTGAGTAGAAAGCCTACAGTTCTGGAAATAAAAGGAGCAGAGCTTTCGGCGTCTACCTATCTTTTCTACAGAAGAACAGATCTCAAACACAAAAGAAGGGAGGATTAAATAAGCATCTCGGTAAAACCAAACGCTAACTCTATCGACATTGGTCTGTCTCATTTTGCAACATACGCTGTCAGATGAAATTCTTCTGCAGGTCTCAAAGTCATGAGCAGTACTGGAAATAACTCCTCCTACACGCTGCTCAAAAAAAACCCCAACACCTGGCATAGATGGCTCATTGATGGCAGAGCAATAGCTCAGAGAAGATGAGAACCGTACACGTTGCTTTAGGTGATCCGTTGGGATATGACATCCCATAGTAGAATTAGAAAGGAGCTCCACATTATAAAGAAATAGTCTCGCCTGGAGATATTACTACTTGACTTCTCAGAACTGCTATTTGTATTTGTTATTTTGCACTTCCCCACAATTTTCTACACGGATATCTACTGTATAAAGCAAGTAAATGTTCCTACCAATATTGGGATGCTTCAAGAGGCGACAGATTCTAGCTTCTCTTTCCAGTTTCTGGTGATCTGCAACAAAGGAAAGCAGAACAATTGCTTTTAGTATAAAGATTAACATAGTTCAGTGTATTTGCTTTACAGAAGCAAAAAAAACCCAACCCCATCATCTGATGTGATCTTTAAAAAATACCTCCTTTATTTAGATCCATTAAGATTTTGCATTCAAACTGTTTGTAATATTGAATTAGGTTACTGCACCCAACCATTTCTTTGATGGACTACCACAGGCAGCTCCATTAGAAAACTCACACCGCCAACTTATTGGAGAGAACAGGAAATATTCATGCCACGACCTGTAATTACCAGGCAATAAATCACGTTACAACATTCATCAAAATAAGGACAACCTCAACCTCCGGCCTTGCCGTACATCCCACCCATTAACAGCTTTAATGACACCCAGCGCCACAGGCCCACGCTTCGACACGTGCCAGCACACCCGCCACCACGTGCTCCCACCGCAAGGCGACGATGCCACAGGAACTCCCAATAACTAACGAGCAGCAGTTGTTATTTTCCCCAGCAGGGCTAATCTCTCTCTCGGGCTGATTATTCATTAACCTGAAGATGCCCTGAACAGGTAGGTACCATCTGCTGGCTCCCCATCTCCCGGCCATCTGACTCTGTTTAACCTTTGGGTAGAGCAGCGGGCTCTGAACTTGTAGACCACCAAGCCCTGATGACGCTGCTGGAGATAAAATACTACTACTTGCGCCAAGCTCTGGTTTTAAGCCCTTTTTCTACACCGCAAGCTTTTACAATATTTGCTCCAAACACCACCATTTATGGCACTGCTTCTGCTGCATTTTGGTTAACGTTCAGTAATGCAGTACTCATCTTACGTGATACGTATGAGAGTGTTGGTGGGGGACACACGTGATGCGACGTAAATTATTTATACTGGCAAGACATGTCGTCAGACATGTTAAAAAGTCTCGTGTCAGGCAATATAAACCACAGACAGGTAACTCTGCAGTACTGGGTCCAGCTCTGGAGCCCTCAGCACAAGAAGGGCATGGACCTGTTGGAGCGGGGCCAGAGGAGGGCTACAAAAATGATCCGAGGGCTGGAGCACCTCTCCTATGAGGCCAGGCTGGGAGAGTTGGGGGTGTTCAGCCTGGAGAAGAGAAGGCTGCGGGCAGAGCTGAGTGCGGCCGGTCAGGGCTTAAAGGGGGCCCAGAGGAAAGGGGGGGACAAGCTTTTTAGTAGGGCCAGCTGGGACAGGCCAAGGGGGGATGGTTTGAAACTGAAGCAGGGGAGGTTTGGACTGGCTATAAGGAAGAAATTCTTTACAGTGACGGTGGTGAAACCCTGGCAGGGGTTGCCCAGAGAGGGGGTGGAGGCCCCATCCCTGGGAACATTCCAGGCCAGGTTGGACGGGGCTGTGAGCAACCTGATGTGGTTCAAGGTGTCCCTGCTCCTGCAGGGGGGTTGGGCTGGGTGGCCTCTGGGGGTCCCTTCCAACCCAAACCATTCTATGATTCTATGATTGATTCTATGAACTCGAGCACTAAAATACATAATTTAGAGATAATAAAAATAGCCAGCTACTGCCTACTGTAATCCTGTAATTCCAACAGACTCCTAGTGCATTTATCCTCACTTTCTGCAGCATAATTTGTATGGCTGCTAAGAATACAAAGCTTTTGTCGAGAGGCAGAAAAGCAGCACAGATTCAATTTTATAATATTAGCTAAAAATAATTTTTCAAAGTGAGAAAAGAAATAACCTGTAAAATGTTCTTGGAGACAAGGCTCTTCTGCTATTATTTTAACTATCTCCAATTTGAGATAGAAGGGTATTTTAATAACCAAGCCTTCACGGGGACTCAAACTTCAAATGTCACACAAGTAATTCGGGTTGCGCTGGCTCCACAGTCCTAATTATCCACATGAGGTTTGAGAACGCTCCTAACAACTGAAAGGGGAAATTCTTAACTGTCCTTCCACCCCATAAAAACAGTAGTCTGCACCATGGGTTTTGAACTGAATAACATTTTGAATTGTTTTGGGGGTTTTTTTAAGTAAATTGTTACCAAACGATTCAATTCCTATGCCCTCCTGCTGCGCTTGATTAAAATGTTCTTGAAAACTCAGGCAGGATACCAATGGTTTATACGTAGAGACCCAAGTGTCACACTCTGGCAAAGCGCAAGCCTGGCACCCTGAAGATAAATAACAGCAACCAAGCCGACCTCTGCAAAGTGCCGCAAAACAGCCTGAAGGGCACAGTCTGCATAGAAGGCAGAGATTAAATATGAAGTTTAATCTAACATGCTCAGTAAGGTGACTCTTGACCGGTGTGTTTAAAAGCGCAGGGGGACAGAGGGACAAGCCAGGCAGGAAATTCCCAACCTTCTATGGAAGAGGTCTCAGGAGCAGCATGCACCCATGGAACGTAGACATAGAGACACTTGGCAGACAACTCCCGGTCTGAAACGTTCCGAACCGACTCCTTAGAGCCAACCTCACACCAGTCTGGGTGAAGCGAGACAGACTGAGCTGTTTTACGTATATTTGGAAAGCAAACTATTAAATCATATCAAATAGTAATGGAAGAGATTGAATAAGCCTCCAGCTCTCCTGACAGATCTTGACAACTTAATGTCGAGTAATTGTCCTCAATTGATGAGCGCTGGGGTTTTGGTGATTCACTTAATCCATCCAACTGTTTTAGGCATAATCAGTAAAGACTTCAGTAAGCACAATTAATGATGTCAACAGAGAGGTCATCGACAAGCGGCAATGAATTTGAATGCACAAAGTCCTGAAAAACGATAGCTGTTCAGCTACTGCAACAGATTTTAAGTTAGGGCAGCTTCAAGAAACAGGGGAGGGATGGACAAGCTGTCATTACCCAGTTCCGAGCGTTAAACCCAAGCCAATCTGTATTTGCGACACGAGCGCTACTGCACGGCGCCAGCGGAAGGGATGCCAGGCGAGGGATGCCAAAGCCCTGGTCCAAGAAGAACAGAGTACCAGGCTTCACACACAAACTGGCTGGCGACTCACCAACACGGGCAAAGAAAAAACAGCAAAAAAAAGAAAAAAAGGCCAAACCAAGCAGTAACCATCATGGGATTGCTCGGAGACGTCATTTTTTGCAGAAAATATAAGTGGCGCTTGTATAGGGCCTTTTCATGAATCGAGAGGGAATCGAAATCAGAGAAGCGTTGACTGCCGGAATAAAAAGACAGCAGAAATTGTGTGCGGTGTGAATATTAAGGAAACATCAAAATATCCTGGCCGCAGCAGACAGTAACACTTCAGTGCTATAAAAACAAAAAAAAGGAAACACGAGGATATTGATAGAGGACGACATGATGTAAAGTTAAATAAAAAGGCACATTATTTACGTTTACATTCTCTGAAAGTAAGAGAGATTGCCCAAGTCAAATAACGATCAAGCAGGCACCGATTCAGTAGTAGAGATCAAGGCAAACACAGGGAGTTCTGCTGCTCTAGCAACTCACTTTACAATAAAAGGGGAAAAACAGTTGCAATGCAAACTGTCAGCCTCTGCAGGCAGAATTATTAAAAAAATAAATACAGAAACATATAGCAAATATACTCGCTCAGAGAAATCCAAGTATCTGGTTTCTACATTGCAAATCTAACTTAGTAGGTGGACAAAAAAAGAAAGTATCTTTTTACTTATCTAATTACTTATTAGAAAAGTAAGGGCTATCCTGCAATACGTATTAGTAGGTGGACAAAAAAAAGAAAGTATCAATTTATTAGAAAAGTAAGGGCTATCCTGCAATACGTTTGAAATAATTAAGCCAGAGTAGTAACTTTTGAAGGCAAGTAATACACAGCTTGAGCATGTTTAAGTATCGATTAACTAGAAGGCAGCTCTTCTGTATATTTTTATAGAATCACAGAACCGTTTAGGTTGGAAAAGCCCTTTAAGATCATCAAGCCATTACCTTAACCCTGCCATCCCACCACTAAACCCTGTCCCTCTGTTAGGGATGTTATTCTCATATTTTTTTCATATTTAAAAAATTACACAAACAAAACCACATAAAAAGCTAGCTGTTTTCATTCAAGTCATACCAATGAAGACATAACTTTTTAATACAATATTTTTTTGCTCAAAGACAAGCTTCCGAGACTTTCTGAAGCCCGACAGAGCTGTACAGCATAACTCAGTCTTTTTTCTCTACAATAACTGTACTATTTTGAATGAAGTATGTGAACATTAAATGACGAGATTTACTACGCCGCAACTACAATAAGCATCACAACTTTCCCAAAACACTAACTTTGGAAAACACAACTGCTTGGAACGTAAAAAACATGCTACAATTGAAAAACGGTGCTTTAACCCTTACAGAAAATTATCATGTGTCACAGTAAGTGCATGGAAAGGTTAGTTCTGAAAATACTAAGAGATTAGTAAGTTCAGAAAAAGTTGCTCTGGATGACAACTCTAAATAATTTAGCATCGGGTGTTAAAAGAAAATGAAAAAGCTCAATCCTTACTGCAATGTGTCCAGGCAATTTAGATATGTATGTGTAAAAGAACTGTAACAACAGATTTAAAATAAAATATAAAAAGCAAGCTCCATCTTTAAAATGGTTAGCACTTCAAGTCTGTGAAACGCTTTTTAAAATCTGGAGGAAAAAACAAGAAAGGAAGCTTCATTACTTTTTCTGTACTCCCCCATAATTTCAGTCAACTTAAACAATAAGAACAAATGAATCAGTTCCACACATGTTGACCGTTCACGTTATTTTTATACTCTTTTAAGAACTAGGCAGTCTCCTGCCCAGATGTATCAGTCTTGCGCTAGTCACCGCTTGCCAACCAAACCCTCATAAATCTCCAAGAGGCCTCAAAGCTTATGCCACTTGCATGAGAAAATTTGTCAGCTTAACCCTCTTCCATCTTTATTTATTGTTAATTAAAAAAAAAATAAATTTAAATTTCAGAAGTTCAAAAAAAAAAAAAATTAAAAAATCTGCAAGATAAGCTCCAAGTTCTTCTGTAAACTTTGCCTCTTC